TTTTCTTCAGCAGCAAATGACAGAGTGGATTCTTCTTAATACACTTTCTTCACTTAGTTTTCAGGATTCCACACGTTCACAGGTTTCCTCCAACCTCACACTGTCTCCTTTGCAGGTTCATCCTCTTCTGCCTGACCTCTAAAGGTTAGCATGCCCAGGACTCAGGCCTTGGTTTGCTGTTTTCCTCTAACTATGCTCACTTTCTTGGTACTCTCAGTCTAATGGCTGGAAAAAACATCTTTATTAGTTTTTAACAACTCCCAAATGACATCTACAGTTCATACCTCCCTCTTGAACTTCAGACTTTCATATCTAACTGCCTCCTTGTCATCTCCATTTACATGATGAATAGATATCTCAAAATTATCATCTCTAAAACTAAACTCCCAGTCTTCCTTCAACCCCCAAATCTATTCTACTGTGCTTTTCCCCATCTCAACTGATAGTAACTCCATTCTTCCAGTTGCTCAAGCCAAAAACTTTAGCAACCCAAAACTAATTCTTTAGATTTTTTGTTCTACATTCTAAATATATCCTTATCCAACCACTTTTCATCACATCCACTGCCACCACCCTGGGATAAGCCCCGTCACCGTCTGTAAATTGCATCTTTCAGACGTGGAATGCAGTAACTTAAGATTAATTCTCTTCCCTAAAAATGAAGAAAGTAAAATAATATACTATATACACAGTCTTCTATTATGAGGAGTATATGATTACCTTTTTTCCTAGCTTGACTTGAGGTGGGTATGGATCTCAAATTTTTGCTTTTTATAACATCCTTTGAAGTTTTCTTTTCAAGAGTAGACAAGTTGAGTGGTGAACTGGGTTTGCCATAGCCGGAGCTCCTGACTGATGCATATAATCCACTCTGGGGTTTCCTTTTAAGTAAAGGAGGTGCACTTCTGACCTTCTTGTACGATGCCTGTTTGCCAACTACAGTCCCTTCTTCTCCAGAACTGAGTTGAGATCTATAAGTCTGCACACAACAAGCACAAACTCTTTAGTACCTAAAGGAACTTCAACTATTATTGTAAATGAAGATTTAGCAGACGGTAAAACAGTGATTATCAGACAATGTAGTTTGTAAAAGGCAAACTACTGTAGTAAAGTTCTTAAGTCTAATGCATCAGAATTTTAGTATTTTGAAGCACACCTTCCAAGTTAGCACTGAAATAAAGTAAAGCAAAACTATAAAGAAAAATAAGCTTGTCAGAAAGCAAGATGTGTAATTATCAGAATGAACATGGAAGAGAGCAAGGAAGAACATATTTTGAAATGACATAAAATCGTATCTTTTTTCCTCTGGACTTCTCAAGATGTTTTTAAAAATTTATTAATACCTTGTCTTATCCTACAAAGAAGTGGAGATGCCTTAGAGCAAACACATAATTCAAAATTATAACAAATAGAACATTCAGATCATGGGAACTGTAAAGCAGAAGAAATCAACAATAGAGGAAAAAGAAACAAACAGTGAAATATAAGTTTCTTCATGGTTGCTAACAGTATTCCTACAAAATGCCAACTTACCTATAATACAAACTATTAGAAAGATTGAACAATGAGCACTACAATGATGAATGAATTTTATTTTCTTATACTATTCAAATTCTGAACAATATTTACTTGAAAAAAAAGAAGTGTAAAAATGGCTTCTAAAAGAAAGCTAACGTTATAGTGGAATTTGAGGATTGATGGTGTTATAATAAATATCACCAACAAACATCCAGGATCTACTGGGGAGGTCAATATATAACTAATCCCACTAGTTTAAGAAGCACACACCTACTAATAGTACCCATATACTTTACATAACTTCAGTTCCCAACATAATCAATTTAGATGATAAATACTTACTTTATTAATTTTGTCATCCTGAATTAATAATGAAGGATTAACAGATGTTTTTTTCCTCAGAATATCAAGGTACATTTTATCAATATGTTCTTCTGTAGCAGGTACTCTTGGATGGCTATTTTCCATACCCTCATTTGTTGTCTTTTGTAAAATCACCTTCTGATCATTTTTGTCCAAAAATTGGTTCACATGTTGTGGGTCTTGAGACATAACATTTGGGTTCATATTAAGAGGTAAAGGGCTAACAAATTCATTTTCTTTACTATCAGCCACTTTCTTAGAGCTA